TGTGAAGAGACCAAGGGGGTGAGTAGTTTTGATATAACCTGAGGAGAACATACAAACTCCACACACACAGCACCCCAGGAATTGAACCCAGGGCCCCAGCGCTGTGGGGTAGCAATGCCCACCACTGTCCCAGACAAGCTGCTTCACCTTTATTTCACTTAAAAGTTAAACTTACAAAGTGCCATCAATCAATACCTGGACATTTAAAAAATGTTCCCAATCAAATTTCCTGGGGAACAAAGTCCTGCACATAGTGACTGTGCCATATTAACAGAAGTTAAACACTATGGAATAAAGATTAGTTCACTATCTAAACTGTGCTCTGATTTGAATTCTGTTTTATATCCCAAGTTGCGTAAGTACAATACTTCCAAGGTTAGCTATATTTGCGTTAATGCTGTTGGAATAAAAAGTGTCCGTCTTTAACCACACCTCAACACGAATATCAAAGATAGACATTGGAAATTAGTAGTATTCATGTGACTAAATAGAGAATCAGGAGATATTGCATTTTATTAAGGAAACTCATCAATTCCCAAATTACCATATACCTATAACTGTAGCTCTTTCTACAACTTCTTGTGTAATTTAAGAAGATAATGAGCTGAAATAACATCAGAAAGGCATGACCTGAAAGAGGAACAAGACAGTCGCTGTCAGCATTTTGTAAGATTAACATATAATTAAATATAGCATTTTCCTTTTCCTTTCAACGGGTTGCAGGGAGGATTATACTTAGAAGTATAATTTAAAATGTTCAGTGCATATAATTTAAAAAAAGCTTATGAAACACTGAATGGAGTTGTCTGCTGTAACTAAATTCATTTAGAGCTACTATGCCGAGCACCACGAACTTCAGTGTTCATCTGGGGCCAAAAAAGACCTCAATTTATTAAATAGATATATTCCTCATAATAACAGAAAAAGAAACAAAATAAAGTCCGACTGTGCACAATTTGTTAAATATTCCGTCTCAATTTTAAGCATTTGCATTTATTTTTTGTTTCAATATCCACCGCTTATCAATTTATAAGATAACCTGCTTGTAACAGTGACAACAAAGTAAAACAAAGTTCTCTAGAATTTCAATTTGGACTTGCAATTTATGAAAAGGCATTCCAGACATATCCACCCACATCCATTTTCTAACTACTTCATCCAATACAGAGTCGTCAGGGAGCCAGAGCCTATCCCAGCAAGCAAAGGGCTCAAGGTTGGATATGCCCTGGACAGGACACCAGTTCAACGCAGCTCACGCAAACACTAGGGCCAGTTTTCCTAGAATCCACATTATTTAACCTACCAGCATGTTTTGCTACTGTGGGAGGCAACAGGACCACCTGGAGGAAACCCACATAAACAAGGGGAGAACATACAAACTCCATGCAGATAACGCCTCCAGGTCCAGAATTCAGCCTACAAGCATGGTACTATGAGACAGAAATGCTAACCACTGCACCACCAATATTTTACAACCTTTTCAATACCTGTGGTCCTACACAACAAAATGGCAGGATCAAAAATCATCACATTGCAGGATAAACTTCAGACTGCTTCATTCAAGAATTGTCTTGCTAGTTACGTCCATACCCAGCTGGTATCATCTTGGGGAAAACCCAATGATCCTGCTATATAATGATGTTTTATTCTTCAATTACAGTTTGCAGAACTGCGTTTGTGTGTTAACCAATAAGGCTGTTGGAATGAATTTGGTCAATCACACTAATTCATTCTGTAATATGAACTTTCTGGTTGTGACTGAACTGATAAGTGAGCTATTTCAACATTGGAAGGTACAGTATCATCCTAGAAACCTCCTAATACATAATTATAATGTTCCTACTCAACAAAGAAGGAAGCTAGAGTGACATTCTCCTTCTAATTAACCAGTAATCTGATTTTAAACATGAGCAATAACCATACAATTTATGTCATCACAATGGCATAATTGAATATCAGAAATGATACTACTAATTTAAGACTTCCTGTGTTTAAACCTTGGGTTATTAGCCAATTAAACGCTATCATAGTATTTATCAAAATGGTGTTAGTAAAATTAAATTACTGTAAAAAGCTATTCCCAGAAATGGAAGTAGCATACTTTTTCAGGCATCTCCACATACAATGGGATTCAAATGATCAATACCTATGCTCACACCTTAGAAAAGGCGGTAATAAAATTTGTCCAGATTTGCTATAAAAGTCAAACTGCTGATGACGATCTGTTTAGCCAATTAGCTCCAGGCATCAAAGGTATAATTCTGTCAATAATGTAATTCAAACATAGAAAAAGGAGTTCAGGATTTTTTTATCATTCATGACTGCGACAATTAAACTGACAAATTACTGTAGTGTATGTCTCTAAATTACAAAAAGCAAAATTACTTCCACAAATCTTTATTTCCCTTTTGTGGTTACTGTTTAATCAAAACATTGTGGCCTTTCAAAAAACAGAACATGTTTCACCCATGATCAACATTTTTTAAACAGATTCAGGTATGTTTACACATGTACGTTATAGCAATATTTTTATTTTCATTTTTTGCCTAATATCAGCGTAGCTATGGTAATATTACTGCAGGTATACACACTGCAACTTTATACCACAATAATGCAGTTATTTTTCGTAAGATCTCAATTATTGTCTTTGGCGCTAAGCAAACAATGAATTTGAAATCTGGTTACAGACTTCTGCTTTCTATCATCATTAAACTACTAGAGCTAATTAACATTTTTTACAATTCATACTGACTTCTTGCTCTTAAAACATACCATACATTAAAGGTAGACTATTCCTAATAATATTAAATAACTTTCTTTATAGGTAAGCATTCCTACAGTACTTATTAGCACTCAGTGACATTCATCCTGTTTTAGTAGGGATAGAAATAATTCTTAAACATTCTTCCTTTCTAAATAACATCCATTCCACCCTTTTCTGCTACATTGCTTTACCATAGAATTTAATAACACGGAGACGTTCTCGGAAGATAACAGACTAACTGCAGTTCTGGTTCTTCTTCAGTCTTCATAAACATGAAAGTTAAGATAATGTGCTCCGTTTAGAAAAACAGAAACAAAACAAGGATATTCTGCCAAAATATTCAAAACCTAAAAAGCGGTCTGAGGCGAAAACAGGTCCAAACCACGTCTGCTCTGAGACACAAAAGCTAAGATTGGCCATAGGTTTACAGCGGATTCAGGACTGGCAAAGGGCACTTGTTTAAATGGGAAATTGTGTATTGTGTATTGCTTGAAAGAAACTCTCAAGGTGGGTGGCATTGCTGCCTCACAGTGCTGGGGTCTTTAATTAGGTTTTAATTCAAGACCTGGGGTGCTGTCTGTGTGGAGTTTGTATGTTCTCCCTGTGTTCGCATTGGTTTTCTCCCATAGTCCAAAAACATACTGGTAAGTTAACTGGCTTCTGGGAAAATTGGCCCTCGTGTGTGTGTGTGCCCTCTGATGGACTGGCGTCCTGTCCAGGGTGTACCCTGCCTTGCACCTGTTACTTGCAGGGATAGGCTCCGACTCCCCCACGACCCTGAATTGTACGAACTGGTCAGAAAGTGGATGTTGAGTGAATCTGTCAAGGTACGTGTTAAAAGCCAGTGGCGTGTTGTGAACAACAGGCTCATCAGCCCGAAGAGTGAAGGATACCAAACAACAATCTCGGGAAAAAAATCATATTTTTGTAGTTTCCAAAGGAGAACCATTTGAAGTTGCCTTAGCCCTCATTTAAATATCGATACGTATTCCTCTTGCATGTTGTGTTCAGTTGCCGTTTAAGGCAAAGCACTTCTACACTAAAAAAAAATGCTGGTAAATATTAAAATGAAGGGATGAGGTTTATTTTTCTCGCGGCATTTTAATAACCCCCCCAGGTTTGAAAACGTTAAAACAATAGAAAAAAATAATTATAAATAAATAAATCTAGACTAAACATAAAAAACTGCAATGTATTCTAAAAGTGATCTACAGCACAAACAAAATCTGTTTTTTTTTTTGGTAATATTGGATGTATTTGATATCAGTTTTAAAGGGTGAGCGAGCAACGTTGGGTTACGTGAATGAATTGAAAACTGAGCTTCAAAATAACCGCATATCTTCGCTGCGTGTGCCTGAAACCCTTCATATGAGATGGGAGTCCTCAGAGGAAAGGGTACTTCTCAGGCGAGGAAAAAATGCCGCTTGACGGCTCAAGAAACGATGCCTGGCGCTCACATCATTGCGTAACAGGGACAGAAGCGTGGACTTCGTCTCTGACTGCCGTCATCTCCGCCTTGCTCCACTGAAGCACATCGGCAAAAACTGCAGAAATACTGTTAATCGTTTATATTGAGAAACGCACGTCAGCAGGGGTGGGTAATCTGTACGGAAGACATATAACATAGCCGGGTCCTTCAAAACAGTCACAAAGCTTTCCTGAAGGCAGCGCAAAAAAAAAAAAACAACGTTACAATGTCAGGAGCCACGATACAGAATTACTGTATATTTAGACAGACCAGAACCAAGTACAACAGGAGATGATCGCCAGGGCAATTCTAGCTTAAAAAGCACGAATCGGGTTTCCTGTGAGACTGTAGTATCTGCGAAATTGCAAGGCAAAGGAAAAAGTGGCATAAACAAGGGCATCCTGAAAATGCAGCAGTGCATTTGATGCTTAGGAGCGTCGCGGCTCGTCATTGGGTCGAATGCATGTTTATTACAAGAATGTTATATTCGACAGGCGAAGCCACCCTCCACATTTTATGCCTCAAAACTAGACAAAGATAGATCAAGGCTTAGAATTACTTCTGGCTAGATATGCTATTTTTAGCAGCTCTATGTAGAGTCCACTATTCCTGCAGTAACTCTTAGCCAGCTGTCACTATTATGTCTTTGCTGTCCCATATGCGCCGCTTCAGCGACGAGGACTGGGATGAATCCCATCGATTTAGCGCCGTGACATTTACCGAGAATGAAATGATACAGTCTTAGCCCAAAGGCAGCGCTCGCCTTACCTTTTCCTGAGCCCTCGTTAATTTCTTCTGCACGTTGCTGGCTAGTTTACCAGCGGTGACTCCTTTCCCCATCTCAGCCATCTTGTCTTCTTGTCTTCTGATAAATACTCGAATAAGAGCGTGAGGTCCAAAACAAAAAAATTAATAAATAAACCTAGAGAAACAATGGACTAACCCCGTTAAAGGGACAGAGGAAGAGTACCGTATGTGCAACGGGTAAATCTTTAAAGGGGCAGAACGGTGTCCTAAAGCGTATGTTAGCTCAGCCTCTTAAAGGCACACGACGCTTTTTCTAATTCAACGCCTTAAAGAATAGCAGTAAATAAAATCAAACTTTGCTTGTATGAAAAAAAAATAAAGTATCCCTTTTCGTCTTTCTATAAGCGATTCTACTTTTTTTAAAAACAATTATTTATGACTACATAGGTATTTTTTTGTGAAAAACCCTAGCCGTAGAAATCAATACGATCTAGCAGCATAACCAATAGGATATCGGGGCTATTTTTCTCCAAGACAATCTGGTTAGTACAGCCTCTTAAAGCGGCAGGTCCACCTTTCACTATAAAGCGTGCAATATGTATTGTAACGCAACGGGGCCGTAAGCGTTACAGTATTTTTTTAATTGAAGATGTATGAGCAGACAGACCCCGAACTTTTTGATTTTGAGTGTGGAGGTGTTCTCATTAGGTTAGGACCAGGCTTTTGAGCGCATCGATCATGCTTTCAGTACAGTACTTGTTTAAAAAGCTTCACCAGTTGGTGCGATCTTCGGAGATTATGTTTTCTTATTCTGTTCTCTGTTCAGTGGACAGCTAATCGACAGCCCTTCGAGCTATGCCACCAAGCAAGGCATAAATAAAACAAGATAGCAATTTGAAACTGGGGGCGTGACGCACCGAGCAATTAAGTGCTCGGAAACGCGACATGAATTCCCAATAATTAAGATTTCTGATGCACTGGTGTCATGGGAAGGACACACACACTGACTGAGCAGGAATGGAGATACTGTAACTGTTAATGTACTGTGGCCTCATTATTTTTTACACCTGTAGCGGCAGTATGTATACAGTACCTCAATGCATTATCATAAGAACCTTTGTTACCACTTTGTTGAAACGTATTTTGTTGATTCAGGCCTCATTTCAGAACCTTTCCTCAAACTGAATACACTTGAAGAGGAGACATTGAGCCTTTCTAGCTTTTATTTCTTAGTTTCCTAGTTCTAATACACTGGTACTCTGACCCCTGCTTGCTTCCTACTCCTATCTCAGTGGAACCTCCAGAGGTGGTGCAGTGATTCTGTGGCTCTGTGACTAAGGATCTGCATCTGTATCTGTGGCTGGAAGCTTGCTGGTTCAAATCCCACAGCTGGCAGAGGAATCCTACTCTATTGGGCCCCTGAGCCAGGCCCTTAACCCCAGCTGCTCCAGGGGTGCTGTATAAATGGCTGACCCTGTGCTCTGACCCCGAGCTTCTCTCTCCCTGTCTGTGTGTCTCATGGAGAGCAAGCTGGGGTAGGCGAAAAGACAAACTCCTAATGCAAGAAATTGTATATGGCTAATAAAGTGATCTTATCTCATCCCACGTCCCCTGGATCGCCCCACAGCTTTGTTTGGCTACTCTGTGTTCCTCAGCCTTGACCCCTGCTCATCTCTTCAACTTGCCTCCCAGATTCCCTACGGCTTGTTCCTTCCCACTGTCTTCCCAGCTTTGGACTCAACTGTACTCGACTATGACTCTCACCCTTCCCTAGTTCCCTGACCAGCCACAGCACCACGTCTGACTGCATGAATGTCAAGCAGTTGGCCTGTCCGGGCTAGCGTGACTGATTTAGCCAGCAGCCTGTTCCGTGTCTCATCTCCAGAGTGTCCAGAATCCAGTAGCACACGGCTCTGGGCTAGTCCCAGTGTACTGCTGGAAGGGCTCCCCAACTTGGCTGAGTCTCACCCAGCTAACAGGTTCTGTCACCTTCCTGGATCATGTCACAAGACCCCTCTCATGAACACTCCATTACACAATCCTCCCAAAACATTAAGTTATAGACAAAACCTAGTATGTGACAAAATGTTGCTAACTAAATAGTAAGTAGATAGTTTTAACTTCATATTCTGCCACGCAGTCTCTGAGTTACACTGTGAGAGAGTGTAACTGAAGGCAGCTGAAGCTATGTAGACAAACTGCTTGTTTAAAAGCCAAAGACTAATTATTTAGTTGTCAACAAAATCAATAAACCCAAATGACTAGATCACAAAGAGCTGATTTAAAGACAACCACATGACTTTAATCCCTTTAATCCCTTTAAAATACTACAGGAAAAGCTTGATCATAGAGTAGAAAATAAAACATATACAACATTAATATATCTATGTACTGTATGTAGGTTATTTATAGAAATACTATAATAAAAATAAAAACTCACACCATGTTGTATCATCTGATGCATGTTCTCTTGTGAAGACAGATGTAATAATATTATTCATAATAACTCGGATAAAAAATAACGTTATTTATAAAGCGCCTTTCCAAACCCAAGCACACTGTGCAGCACGAATATAGAAAAAGACACAAAAACTACAACAGACGTAAATGAAGAAAAAAAAAAACAAAAGCATACAGGTTTTTACAGGTGTAGGCAATCAGACGTAGACTTTGGTAAAAAAGGTCATTTTAAGTTTAAATCTGAAGAGAGTTACAGAAATTCTCTGGCAGAGTTTGAGGAAGATATTTCCACAACACTGGAGCAGAGACAGAGTCACAAAAAGTCCAGGATGTAGCCCTGGGAACAGGAGGCAGAGGATCGGCCTCAGCTGAACGGAACCTGTGGCAGGGGAGTGTAAACATGGAGGAGGTCAGAGATGTGTGATGGAGCCAGATTGTTTAGGGCCTTGATGGACAGTAACAAGATCTTATATTGAGTATGTGACTTTATAAGCCACCAATGTAGAGACTTAAGTATAGGAGTGATATGCTGTCGGGGTCTGGGGTGAGTTAGCAGTCTAGCTGCAGAGTTTCGAACATATTGCATCTTGTTGAGAAGAGAGTTAGGGAGGCCATAGAGTAAAGAGTTGGAGAAATCAAGCCTTGATGTTATAAATGCATGAATCGGGCACCCAGCATCGGACATTGATAAATATTGCCTATTGCGGGCAATATATCCAAGGTGAAAGATGTCTTAATCACATTTTTCACTTGTGGTTCAAAAGACAGGAGATTTATATTAACATACAAGTCAATAGTTTGTGTTAATCCTTTTTTAGTTATGTTTTAATATAAAGTTTCTTGGTGCCCCACTTATATTAGCTGCTAGTATATATTTTTAATAATAATAGTCTTAATTAGAGGCTACAACATTTTAGAATTGTTTATATGTTGCTAACTGCCAAGTCTTGTTTTAAACATTGTAAACAGCGAACACTAATTCCACTAATTATCCTAATTACCTAATAACAAAAGTTGATTGGATAGAAATTCAAATTCATCTTTTATGTCACAGTCAAGCAATAACTAGAAAGCAACTGATCATGATGAAAAAAATATTTACACCTTAAGTAGTATTCTACATTCTTTTGTAGTTTAAATACAAAAGAATGTAGAATACTACTTAAGGTGTAAATATTTTTTTATTAAATAGGTTAATTGCTGATTTCTACTCAACAGTGAAAAAAATCACACTTGTGGGATTGTGGGAGCATTGCAAATATTGGAGTTATTTAAAGAGATCTGCCCAGTATGTTCCCCTATTTATTCATATATAGTAAGACACAGAACGCTAATGTGGACTTTTCAAACCCATGTGAAATATTTAATGAGTAGGCCATGTCACCATTGCAGCAATAGCTGAAATAAATGCCCTTTGCTAAATATACCACTGGTACTCACTGCATTCTGCCAGATTACTGAAATAAAATTGAGAATGATGTTACTTCTGGTGACTGTGCCAAAATGATAGTTTAGTCACAAGACGCACTGGGTGCCTGTTATATTAATGTCAAGTTAAGTTAAAAGGGCAGTTTTCATGGGTAGGTTATATCTGCCCCTGACTGTACACCACAAATGTGACTCACCTGCAATGGACATGACTACCCCCTCCCCTAAAACAGGGGGTAAAACGTCATGTAGGAGCTTCTTACCATACCTCACAGGCTGCAGTGGCAGACAACGCGCTAGGGAATAGGAATGGTTCACTCATTTGATTGTAGGATGCCTCTGGGATGCTCTGCAATCTGAGCTCTGCACTGATGTAAAAGTAGTATAGTGATGTGATTTAAAATTTAGTGGAACAATAAAAAAATGAAACTGTAAATGGCGAGAGAATAGTACTTAAAAGGGAAACTGCAGTCCCAATTTCTCAGACCGGTTCTTAAATCTCGGTAACAGAATAAAGTTGTTGATGTTCTAGAACAGTTTTAGGAATTTCTAATTAGGCACAAAATCGTGAACTTGGTGAAAGTACTGTACATTAAGTCGCAAAGCTGTCGCAAACTAGCATTTGAGTTGCCATGAATTGCAATGTGGACCTAAACCATTTAAGGTTTGTTCTCTTTTTTTCCCCACCTGTTAAGGCTCCCCATAGGATTTCAGGTTACAGGACTAGCATTCTACATTTCTGGATCTGTAGAACGTGAGCCTCTGAGACCCGTAGTTTTGGATATGGTTTTTGGTATTTTAAAGTCAAATACTAGTAAATAAAATCATGTGCGGAACACTACTGAAAACAAAAAGTGAGCTCATCAAAGGGAATCAATAAAAACAGCGTTAAACAGACACCATTTTTTCAGTCCAGTTTCCTTTTTCCTGGGGAATCAAGCCAGTTGCTGGATTGTGCTTCCAGCCAGGCTCCAGGAACGGTACCCTCGATAAAGGTCATGTCACCACGGTCAGTTTTAGGCTGCCGTGCGTGAGAGCAGGCCTGTTTTTTCTCAGCAGCGCTGGGTTAGCAAGAATGTGCTACGAAGCGTCATTCAGGACCCTATGCAGACGACACAATCCGGAAGGGAGTGAACACACACACAGGGGGGAGGCGAGGAACTGGGCTGGTAGAGTGTCATGCCCAGTACACCTAGAGGGCGCTCTACTTTTCTCCTGTTCCTAGTTCCCTGCGATTATTCATGTCTTTCTGGTGTGTCTTGTTGTGTAGCCTATTTACTTCCTGCTTCTGCTCTGCTCCTCACTCAGAATTGAGGTTCAGATGTCCTGAGACCCGCCTAGCACCAGGTCGCTCCTGTCCGTGGCCTGAGGGCATAGGTTTCTATACGGCATTTCCTGAACAGCTGAGCCCAGGCTAACCCCCATCTAGCCCCTACGCATAGGGTCTATTTTCGCTCTCCTGTCATTCCACGGTTCGTCCTTTCCGACATCTGTGACATAGAGGAACCGGGGGGGGGCGTGACGAAGGTGCTTCGGGGGGCGTGGTCCAGGCGAACAATCCAAAAGGGAGTCCAAAGGGCAGTCCAGT